CCCCAAAACCCCAAAACCCCAAAACCCCATAGGTCTAGATATTTGAGTGAATTTGGAGTATTAAAAATATTTGAGAATAAAGATTAAATAGATTTAAAGAAGAGAGGTAATTTCAAAATGGAATTAAATGATAAGCAGAATAAAATGAATCAGTCTGAGCCCTTGCTTGGGAGTTAAAAGCTTAACAACACAGTAGGTGGTGGCACCTCTTTTGAGGCTAATACCTATGTGAACTTAAAGAAAACCAAATGGAGATTCGTGGTATTGTTCATATAATGTTACCTCGTAGCTGCAAAGTAATCTCATCCTTTAAAATTAAATACAGTTACTATGTACTCTACTCTCTCAACTCAGTCCAGCTTGAAATTCAAAAAGTGTTTGAGATCGACTATGTTAAATACAATCTGCTTACATCTATTTATGGCATTCCAAATGTAATCTTGTGCTTTATATCAGGGAATATTATTCATAAAATTGGTCTAAGAGCTTCAAATTTTTACGTCGTATTGATGATATTTATTGGACACCTAGTTGTAATAATTAGTTGCTTCTATTCAAGCTATTACCTCTGTCTCTTAGGAAGATTGATTGTTGGGTATGTAAAATGTAATCATTTTTATTTATATAGAATTGGAAGTGAACTTCAACAATGTGTCTACTTCTATGTCCTCACAATATGGTTTTAAAATAAGGAAATGGCCTTAGCTTTCTCGTAAATACAAAATAAATAATGCTTTAAATTTATTCATTATCTTTAGTTTTTCAGTAATGGCTCTTAGAATCGGAGCAGTGATACCAGATCTGATCATACCTTACGTATACACTCTGACTAATAGTCTTGTACAGTCTTAATTGACTGGTATTGGCGTTTGTGTAGTAGCCTAAATTTTTGCTATTCTTTATAATCTCATTGACAGATACAATGAAAAGAAACTGAGATAAAAGAAATTATAGGAGCAGACATCAATGGGTTTAACTTAAATTTTTGAGGATGAAGAGAATATAGACTGGCATAGCTATAAACAGCTTGGGAAAATCTTTTGGGCATTCAGTTTTCTTGTTATCCTAATGTATGGAACCTTCCAACCGTTCAACTCTAACCTCAACTCTTTAATCAGAGAAAGATTCGGCTATGATATCGTTGGAGCTGGCTAAGTTATTGTAAGATTTGATAACTATATTATATTCTTAGGCATTTCCTACTTTATTGATTGCCTTGGCAAGCCCGGTGTTCGGTATAATTTCTGATAAATACGGGCACAGAGGAGATATTTTGACATTTGCAACTTTTCTTTTGATAATCGTTCAAACCACAATGGGAACTTTGAGAAATTGTGAAGCTTGTGTGGAGATTATTTATGCTATATTCGTTTATCAAATTGCTTACTCGTTCTTTGTATCTAATATATGGGCTTCCTTGAAACTTATTACTCCCAAGCATTTAAGAGGCATCGCTGTTGGAATCACTAATGCCCTCTAGAATGTGGGATATTTTTTCTCATCATTGTTGATTGGATTAATTTTAGATGGAAATTAAGATAAGTAATTAGGATATAGATGGGTCAACTATTTGATGGCAATGATGAATTTAACTGGTTTTGTCATATTAATAAGCTGGAATTGTAAGGAAAGAGAAAAACTTAATGCTAAAAAGCCCTCTGATTGAATCTTAATAAATAATTAATCTAATTAAGTATGTGAGATAAAATTTTATGGGGTTTTGGGGTTTTGGGGTTTTGGGG